AGAATTGCCTAAGTCCAGGAGTTGGAGGTTGCTGTGAGCTGTGACATCATGGCACTCTACCGAGGGCGATAAAGTGAGATTCTGTCTCTTAAAAAAAAAAAAAAAAAAAAAAAGGGCAGTGCCTGTGTCTCCGTTAGTAGGGCGCCGGTCCCATATACCAAGGGTGACGGGTTCAAACCCAGCCCTGGCCAAACTGCAACAACAAAAAAAAAATAGGAGGGCATTCTGGCGGGTGCCTGTAGCCCCAGCTACTTGAGAGGCTGAGGCAAGAGAATGGCCTAAGCCCAGAGCTGTGAACTGTGACAGCACAGAACTCTATTGAGGGCAACAAAGTAAGACTCTGTCTCTTAAAAAAAAAAAAAAAAAAAAACACCCACCTTCTGCAGCTCCAGCCGATTGTCTTCCTGTATTCTCTTGTTCCGCTCCTTCAGCTCCTTCTCTTCCAGATGGCTGATTCCCTTCTTCTCCAAGGCCTAGAGGGACCAAGCACATGCCCACTGAGTTTAGACTCCGAACCTTGCCCCACCCTGGTTGCTCTCCCTAGAACACCTGCCAAGCACCCTCCACTCCCTCCTGTGGGACATCAAGTAGCCAATGCACTCACTTTGCAGAGAGAAGTGAGCTGCCCACAGCCACACATCTTCTGAAAGCTTATTTGCTACCATTCAGCATGTAGATACAGGTCCTTCCAACCTAAGCAAGATGTGTGTGAAGACACAGAACAGAAGCAGCCAGCCTAACCTCTGCGGGAATTGTAGCTGCCACTCCTGGGGGTCTTGCTCAGGACCTGCTAACTTCTATTTTACTAGAAGCCCAGCAGCTGAGGTTAAATCCTCAGCAAGTAAAATCCCCAAGTGTATAAGGGGAGGGGAAGAGGTGACAGGGGAGGGGAAGAGGTGAAAGAGAACAAAGATGGGCAGAAGCAAACTTGTCTGGGTCACTGTAATCAGGAGGCAGAGGTTCTTATGCTCCACGGGGCACCCCCCCTCCCCCCAACACACACACAGCCAGGGCATCTTCTCTCTCTGCATCCTCACTCAAAGGTAGATGCATTGGGGCATGGGGTAGATGCACTACCCCGGCATGGAGACCTTGACACTTTGACATCATCTCACAATTGCTGCCTGAACCTGGTGCTGAGGCTCTCACCTGTTTCATCCCGGGGGCCCTCAGCATCCCATGAGAGTATTCTAGGATGCCCCTAGTACCCAAGAAAACATGCCTCCAGGGAGACTTAGAGTTGCCTGGCTGGGAAACACCCTCTGAGGAACTAGGCTGCTGTGTGGTCTCTCCAGCCCTCTCTGGGACCACCACACAGGCTAATGGTGGTCATACTTCCTGCCCCAACTTGAGCGCATGGGAGCAGGCCCAGGTGGTGGCACCCAGCACATGGCATATGCACAAGACATGAGTGTGGTGCTGACTGAGGTCTTTAGAGGCACAGTCCCCTGACAGAGTGTGGTGGGGAACCAGGCAGCAAAGGCCCAGAGGGCCTTTCCAATAGGGGAGACCTAAAAAATGAGAAAGGTCAGCTGAGACCTGAAAGATGAGAAAGAACAGCCATGGGAAGAGGAAGGTGTCTCCAAGCAGAAGTCTGTAGAGCTCAATATGTTCCAGAAACCAGTACAAAGTCCCCTGGGGACAGCAGGGCTTTAGGCTGTGCAAGCCCAAAGCAAGCGTGGACTGTACCTCTTGCTCATTCCACTGGGGGGCGCTGCTATAGACTGAATTGTGTCCCCTACAAAAAGAGTACCAACCAACCCCTGGGAGCTGTGACTGTAACCTTATTTGGAATTGGATCTTTGCAGAAGCTAGCTAGTGAGGATGAGGTCATCGCAAAGGACGTTGGGTCCTAATCCAATGACAGTATCCTTGTAAGAAGTGGGAAATTCAGAGAGACACACACACACAGGAAAGAGAAGGCTGTGTAAAGACATAAGACATAGAAGACAGCTATGTATGACAGAAGCAGAGACTGTAGCAATGCGGCCACATGCAAGAATGCCCAGGGTTTGCCAGCAGCTGAGAGAAGCAGAGAGGGACCTTTCCTGGAGACTTTGTGGAGAGAACTCAGCTCTGTGGACACCTTGATTTCATACTTCTAAACTGAGAGATAAGTTCTATGATAAATTCTGTTGTTTTTATTTTTTATCTTTTCTTTCTTTCTTTTTGCAACTTTTTTTTTTTTGGCCAGGGCCGGGTGTGAACCCGTCACCTCCGGTACATGGGGCTGGCACCCTACTCCCTTGAGCCACAGGCGCCGCCTCTTTTTTTCTTTTTTTGAGACAGAGTCGTACTATGTCACCCTCAGTAGAGTACCTGGCCATTTTTTTTTTTTTTTTTGGTTGCAATTGTCATTGTTGTTGTAGCTGGCCTGGGCCAGGCCGAACCTGCCAGCTTCGGTATATGTGACTGGCACCCTACCCACTGAGCTACGGGCAATTTATTTTTTACCTTTTTTAGAGTCAGAGTCTTGGGCTCTGGGGATTCTGCCATCTCAATCTCCCAAGAATCTGGGGACTACAGGTGCCCAGACTATAGGTGCTACAGACTCCTGGGCTCAAGGGATCCTGCCATTTCAATCTCCCAAGAATCTGGGGACTACAGGTGCCCGCCACCACACCTAGCTAGTTTTTCTTATTTTTAGTAAAGACAAAATGGCTCGGCGCCTGTGGCTCAAGTGGCTAAGGCACCAGCCACAGACAGTTAACGTGGTGGGTTTAAATCTAGCCCAGGCCATCAAACAACCATGATGGCTGCAACCAAGTAATAGCCAGGCGTTGTGGCAGGTGCCTGTGGTCCCAGCTACTTGGGAGGCTGTGGGAGGAGACTCGCTTGAGCCCATGAGTTGGAGGTTGCTGTAAGCTGTGATGCCAGGGCACTCTACCCAGGGAGACACTTTGAGGCTCTGTCTCAAAAAAAAAGACAAAGTATTGCTATGTTGCCCAGGTTGGTCTTGAACTCTTGGGCCGAGTGATCCTTCTACTTTGGCCTTCCAAACTGCTGAGGTTATAGGTGTGAGCCATCATACCTGGCCAATGCTGATGTCATAAGCAGTGTGCTTGAGGTCTGAAAAGACCAGCTCAGAGATGACAGTGCCCATAACTGTGGAATCCTATCCTGGGTGTGTGATGCTAAGAACCTGTTCTCCAGGCTTGGTGTCTGTAGCTAAGTAGTTAGGGTGCCGGCCACATACACCAGGGCTGGTGGGTTCGACCTGGCCTGGGCCAGGTAAACAATGACAATTGCAACAAAAAAATAGCCAGGGGTTGTGGCAGGTGCCTATAGTCCCAGTTACTTGAGAGGCTGAAAGCAAGAGAATCACTTAAGCCCAAGAGTTTGAGGTTGCTGTGAGCTGTGACGCTAAGGCACTCTACTGAGGATGACATA